GCCGTCCCCGTCGTCGCCCGCCCTGTGCACCGGGGTGCCGGCCTCGCTCGCCGGCGCGCGCCCAGGCCGGCCGTGTGCTCGCCCCTCGCCGCGCAGCGAATGCGCAAGGCGCGGGCCGGCGGGGCGAGCCAGGAGGGGCTGCTTGCGGGGCGCCGAGAGCCCGGCGGCGCGGCAGAGGCGAGGCGCACGCGGGCTGCTCCGCGGCCTCCCTCGCAGGGCTGCTTCCGTCCCCGAGGCGGCCCGGGGCACAGTAACGCGCGCTTGGGGCGGGTCCGGCGCGGCCCCTCGCCAACACGCGCCTGCTTTGCTCAGCCCCGGCCAGAAGCCGCCGAGGGCTCCGTGGCGGTCGGGTGGAGAGCGCCGGGACTTGTCTTTTCTTCCCGCCGCCAGGCCCAGGGAGCTCTCGGCTGCCTTTCCCTGGCCTCGGCCGCCTGTGGGGCCCCGCAGGGGGGCCGCCAGCCCTTTCCCCCGATGCTGCTGGTCTTCAAGGGCGGCTGGGCAGGGCGGTGGCGCACCGGGGCTCATGGCCGCTTTGGATGGACCGGGAATGTCCCTTGGGCTTGTTTGGGAGACGCGTTTGCCCCGGTTCACACAGTCTGCCAAGTCCCAGCGAAAGGGCCCCTGTTGCCCCCCCCCCCATCCTGACAAGCAGGTTCTTGGGTAACGGAGGCCTACGGGTGCCCCCTCTGCTCCGTGGCCTTCAAAGCCGTGCCACGCAGCCGGGCCGTTCCTGCTCCCAGTTGCCGCGTCGCTCTCTTGCCTCGAGCACTGGGCACACCTGAGAGCTGCCCAGCCTGTGCCAGCCACTGGGCCGGGCATCCAGGTGCCCTGGGACGCTCACGGACTTTTCTGCTCCTTCCCAGACTCATTGGAACGTTCCAGATGGTCTTGCAGAAGGTGGTGGAGGAGGGGCGACTGGAGGTGACGGACACGCTGATCGATGACAACAACTCCGCCATCCAGGTAGGTGTGGCGCGGTGATGGCGGGCGCGGGCCGGGGCCCTTTTCCGGAAGGTCGCTGGCGCGGGAGCTCCGCTGGCGCCGGGCGTCTGTTCCTCGCTCTGCTGGGAGCTTCCGGGTGGCTTCGTCAGCTCGTCCAGTGGCAGGTCAGCCCTTTTGGGACGCCTCTTCGGTCCAACGTGCGGGGACGGAAACAGTGGGTGGTGCCCTGCGTACCTGCCCTGGTTCTTGTCGCATGCAAAAATGGGGGCTGAAAAATGGACCCCCCCACGCCTCCCCAGCAATGTTAGTGCCCCCCAGTGGGGCTCCCCTGCACGCAGCTGGAATTGTCTCGAAACTTCTCCTTTCCGTTGGGTCAAGCAGGTGGCAGGAAGTTAGGTGCAGGGGAAGGTCCTTGGGATTTTCCGGGCTGCTCACAAAGCCCCTGATGAATCGCGGTTGCCCACCTGCTTTTCATCTGCAGACTCAGTCAGGGCCCACCCATGTGTCCAGGGGTCCGCATTTGATCCCACCCCCTCTGCACATGCGACGCACATATGTCTATAACGGCTTATCTAATGAGGACTAGCAACGTTTTAATTTAAAGAGTGGGAGCCAAGTGCTACGGAACGCTGCCAGGCCTGGACTGAAAGCTCTGCAGGGCCTGGACTCTCGGGGACTTGGCTGTTCAAGGCCCACGGAAAGCACAGGCGGCGTGGGGGATGTCTTGAGCGGTGCCAGCGACCTGAGGAAGGGTCACGTGGGGCAGTGTTGCTGGGCAGGCCTCCCTGGCCGACACTCGCCTCGTGCAAAATGCATGCAGGCCTGAGGACCAGACCTGCTCCTCCCTCGTGAACTATGTCGGGGCCACAATGAGGACCAGCAGCTTTGCTCCAGGCACGAAGCCGCATTTTCTCAGCTTTCTGGCAACCAGGACACGGAGCCAGTGGCCAAGTCGTGCGCGCTTTGTGCCAGTGTAGCGCTTCTCTCACGGAGCATCCTCTGCCGTAACCATGGCAACACACAAAAGGAGGCAGGCGGGACTAAACCGCTCCTCTCCGCTTTTCGGGTTGGCTTCCTGCGCCTGCCGCAGTCAAGGTGATCCGAGCCAGAGGAAGGGGGGCCTCGTTCGTGGGGTTGAGGGGGAGCCCCGCTGGATCCAACCGAAAGTTTGCCTGGCCTCCAGGCATTCAAGGGCGCACTGGACCTGAGCATGGATGCTCCACCAGCCACCGCAGCCTGCAGCCATCGCCGTGTGCGCCCCGCGGCCCCATGCTCCGGGCAGGCGGTGGCAGCGATCGCGCGAGGGCCGCGGCCAGTGCCCCCTCCGAGGCCCCGTGCCCACAGCTTGCCCTGCCCACCCCCACCGCCGCCGCGCTGGGCTGTCCTGCTCACATGGAGCACGGACGGGTCCCCCAGCCCTGATCACCCGCTGCTGGCCTGATTCCGTGCCCATCTGCCCCCTCTCGGCGGCTGCTTGGGACTCGTGCAGAATTCAAACGCGGCAAGAGGGGAGTGAGGGGCCGTCGCCGCCAGGGGAAGCAAGGACTGCGCACAGAAGGGAGCGGAGAGGGGAAGGGGAGCAGGGAGGGCCGGGGAGCTCGGCTGGGCAGGCCGGGAGAGCAGCTCAGGGGCCGCGCGTGGTGCCATTTGGTGGCCGGTGGCTCCGGCTGGCGGCCTCCGGGGAAGAGCCGGTGGGCCTCGATCCGCGCGGGGCAGGGTCCGTGCTGGCGTTCAAGAGGAGGCGGGATCACTTTCCCATTTGCCCCTTCAGGAGACGGCTGCCCCGGCGTGCCGAGGCCTTGCGCAGGGGGCTTGGGGAGGCGAGGGGCTGCCGGCACAGCCGGAGGCCCCCACGGTGCAGCGCAGCCCAGGGGCCTCCGGCCGCGGCACAGATGCTGAGCTTCCGGCTGGACCCGGGCTTTAGGGCTTCGTGGCAGCCCTCAGACAGGACGGAGGTCCAACAGGCCTGCGCTGCAGCCTCACCCTGCAGGCCGCCCTCCGACTCCGCAGCCCTCGACAGCCTCCGGCGACGGGCGGCAGGGAAGCTCATGAAGCAGGTGGGCCGCTTGTCTGGCCGGGCTCCTCGAGAGCAGACGAGCGGCACAAGAGCAGAACGGCCGGGCAGCCTCCTCGGCCCTCTCCCGGGCCCCAGAGCACGGCCCGTTCCCCCATCCCAGACACCCCCGGCCAGTTTCCGCAGGACCACCCTCGGGTGCCTCCACTCGTCCCCCTGCTTGGCTCCAGGACTGACCTCAGAGCTGGACCCACCAGGTGCTGGAGGTCCGGGGAGGCCTGTGTCCTCGAAGGGGCTTGCGGGGACATGGCAGTTTCTCCATGCGTACCCCCCCGGCAGCCCCCGCGGGAGCCCGTCGGCACAGGGGGGTGGCCGGGGCCCCTCGGAAAGACGGCTCCCCCTTTCTTACCCACAGGAACATCCAGGCTGCCCTGAGACCGGATCAGACCAAGGTCCAGAGGCCCCGAGGGAGCAGCCCCCCCCCCCCCATGCTCCCCAGCCACAGGCGTCCAGAGGCATTCCGGTGGAGCATTTGTGCCAGCCGCCCCTGGGAGTCGTGGTCCTCGAAGCCAAACGGAACGCCGCTTGTCGCCCGGAGCCGCGAGGCCTCCGAGCCGTGGGCACCAACCCCCCACTGGGGTTTCCGGGCTGGAGCTGCAGTTCCGCCTCAGGCCGAGGGGAGAAAACTCACAGCAATGTGCTTCGAGAGGGATTCTGCCCCCAGCATCCACATCATCGCACCGGTCCCCGAGGGTGTGGAATGGACTTCCCTGGGAGGTGGCTGAGGCCCCCTCGGTGCAGGTGTTCAAGGACAGGCTGGACGTCCACATGGTGGGCCTGTCGTGAGTGGAGCTGGCTGGAGCCGGGGTCAGACTAGATGGCCCGGGAGGTCCCTCCCGACTCGCGCTGCTTCTGTTTCTATGGCACCGTTCTCTCCGGCTGGCAGTGGCAGCACTGGGCTCTCCACTGGGAAAGGACTTACTGGTCGCCCAGAGCAGGCCACCCCACTAAGCACCCTTGCTCCAAAGGAGTCCCACTGCCTTCACTGGGGTTTAGTCACTAGCAGACTCGGCTGCAGCCTGCAGGCCGGGGATGATGGGGCTACGGTCCAGCACGAGTCCTCTGAGCTCTGTGGGTCTCCTTCGTTCGGAGAGAAATGCTTGGTGGGGGGCGAGATGGTTTGGCTCAAGCTGGCTGGAGGCGGCTGAGGACTGGGGTGGGTGAGAGGCGAGCGGCTCGTCTTCAGAGGGGGAGAGGGTCTCGCCCCCGCGGCCCCGGCCCTCACGGGCCTCCTCTCTCTTGTTGCAGACCAGCATCTCCATCGAAATTCGGTACCAGGCCATGGACGGCACCGTGGGCACCTGGGACGACGAGGAGTTCCTGGAGAGCCCCAAGGGCCGCTGCGAGGGGGGCCCTGGAGAGACCGACGTCCTGCTGCCCGGCCGCCGGCACTCCCCCAGCAAGGCCAGCGCGGCGGAGAGGGCCCTCCGGAGGTAGCCGCCCAAATGCAGGCTGTGGGGCCCTGGCCCTTCCCGGCACCCACGGCCACGGGGCTCCGCAGCGGCCTGCCAGGGGCTGCCCGGCCGGCCCGGGACCGAGCGCTCCAGCGGCAAGCGGGCTGTCGGGCGGGCTCGCTTCCGCCACGCGGCTTTCCAGGGGCTGCTCTCAGGCCGTGGCCTCGCACGCGCTCGGCTCCCCTGGCTCCCCCGGCTGCCGCACGCCCTCGTGCCGCCGGGGCTGGCCCCGCAGGAGGCGCGTGGGGCACGAGGCTGGCCACCCCGCTGCTGAGGGCGGCTGTTCGGCTTCAGCCCTGCCCGGCTGCCCCATGGCCCCTCCTTTTCCGGGGTGTTCAAAAGCCGCACCAGGAGAAAGGGAACCCGCAAAGACGCGTGTGTGGGGGAAGTGCAGCCCGTGCGCGCAGGCAGAGTCTTGCTGAGGCCCCCGGCTCGGGGCACCCCCAGCTGTTGTGGGTCGCGGGGGTACGGACTGCGCGAGGCAGGGGCGAGGACTGAGGGCCAAGCGCCGGCGTTGTCTTGCAGCTGCAGATGGTGGGGGCTCCGTGCCAGGAGGCCTCCAGAAGGTTCTGAGGCTGCAGCCCCGGGGGCGCACGTTGGTCGTGCGATGCCTGACGCCCGGCTTGGCTCTGGGGGTTCCTGGCAGCCCCTGAAGGCGTGGGCCGTGCAGGCGGTTAGCTGAGGCCAGGCCAAGGGGGTGCTTTTGATCGTGCGCGTGTGGGGTCGATGTTCCGTCCATGCTCTAAATGCTCCCGGTGGCTGAGCCCCCCCCCTTTGTGTATCTGCTATGGGGTCCCTCAGCACTGTGGTGTGATTTGCAGAGGGGCTTAATTCCCCCCCCCCCCAGCATTTCCCCAGTTAGCACCGCTGGGGCAAGTGGGATGGCTGGGGAGGAAAATGGAGCTGTGGGGGAAAGGGGGGCGTCCCCCGTGACACAGCAGGCCTGGCCAGCCCCCCTCGCTGGGCTCGACGGGCTGCGGGGTTTCGTCCTTCGTCTGCGGATGCCAAAGACCAGCGGATGCGGCGCTTGCCGTTTGCCCCAGGATGCAGAGGCTGCGGAGGGCAGCTTGCCTTCTCCCCTGCCGGTTTTGGGTTTTTTTGAGGGGGGCAGGTAACAAGTCCCATGGTTCTGAGAGGCCGGCGTGTTGCCGGATGCCCATATTCCTTGTTCTCCAGTCAGTTTAGGGAGCGTGTAGGACGCTCTCCCCACACCTGGCCCCCTCCAGGCGTGCTGAACTGCCACGGCCACGGTGCCCAGGTCGTTGGCCTGGCGGCTGGGCTGATAGGTGTTGTAGTCCAACACACCTGCAGGACCTCAGGTGGGAGGGGGCTGCTTCACCGGCATCTCGGGGCTACAGTGAGCAGAAGGATGCAGCCAGCTCTGCGGGGCGCAGGGCCAGGGGCTGCCCCCGGCTGCCCCCACTGGGGTAAAGCCAGCCTGGCCGCCTCAGGCCGCAGGTGCCCTTCGTTCCCGGGGGAGCCCTGGCCGGGCATCCCATGGGGGCACTTTGCGTCCCACCTGCCCCCTTGGGCAGCGCGGCGGCTGGTGGGCGGCCCTCAGCGCAGCGTCACTCGGTGCGTTCACGAGCTGGGCTCGCTGCGAGGGGTTTGGGGGCTGCTCTCGGGGGCTTTCCGGGGAGCTGGCTGCGGGGGCAGTGAGAGCTCAGCCGCCCCCCTCAGGCACTCCCTGGTGCTTGCCTAGCACTGCTCTCTCTGTGGGGAGGGACCCCGCTCTATTTGATCGCTTTGCAAGCAGGAAGCGAATCGTTCCCCTCCACCTGTTAAGGCTCGGCAGCCACGATCCGATCCGACCCGCACCGAGGCCTGCGAGGCGGCACTAAATAGCCAATTTGCAGTGCAAAGCTGGACTGAAGCTTCTTCCTGGAGGTGCAGATCGATTCCCCAGATCAATAGGTGAAGAATTCTTCCTGGGCAGGAGGCCAACGGTTGGCTGTGGCGGGGATCACGCCTCAGTTTCCGCAGGTTTTGCCAGCCCCGAGCAGGAGTGCCCCCCCCGCCCCCTCCCCAGTGCAGCCTGCTTTCTCCAGATCCGGAACCCGGGAGCAGCTCTCTGCCTGGAGGTCCAGCGCCCACCAGCTGCAGGGAGGGGCGTGCGGCTTTCCGCCCGGGCTGTGGTCCCTGCCAGAACGTGTTGGTCAGAGCTTAGGAGCGCTTGCTCCAATACTGGGAGCCGATTTGGCCAGTGATCCATTGAAGGCTGCCCCACAGAGCTAACCAGACAGCCACGGTCACTGTGCCGGGTTGCACTGGCTCACCAGGGGGAGCCTCTGTCAGCAGCTCCTGAAAACGCCGGAGGCTGCGAGAAAGGCGAGTGTAGTGGACCTTCCCAGGCACTGGGTTTTGGTGGGAGGGGAAGCCGGAACCACAACAAGCTTGCTGGACCAGCCTGGTGCCTCCCGAGGCAAAGCAGGGTTCCCGGGGAATGACCAGAACCAAAGCGGGGAGCAGATGGAGCCCAGGGCGCCCTGGGGCCTGGGGCATGCCAGCCACGGGCCTCCGAAAACAGTGCCGTCGCGTTCTGCTTCCCCGGACGCGCTGCAGCGGGGGGAGAGGAGCAGGGCGACTGGCGGGTGGACGGTTCCGCCTGCTGGCTGTAGGGCGTGCTTTGCTGGGCCTTTCCCAGCCCGGCGCTTTGGGAAAGGGACTGCGAGCTGTGCAGGGTGGCTCCCAGGTGGGTGGCAAGCATGGGGATCCGGAGATTGGGCTGCAGGGTGGGGTGTGAAGCGCCGCTCGTCCCTGCTTTCCCTTCTCAGTCGTTTGGTCAGCCCCTCCTGCAGCCAAAACCTGCTTTGCTCTGGTGCTGCCACGCTGCACCGCTTGATGCCGATCTCAACTCCTCACTGCTCCCATCACCCCGAGACTTTGCAGGTCTCTTTCGCAGGATCAGGGAACAGTCCTCTGAGCCATCGCGTCCAGCCTCCTGCCCAGTGCAGGGCGCCGGGGGAAAGCGCTCTTCGGCTGCCTCTCGCCTGCCTCCAGCGTGGCAGAGCCCACGGCCCCTGAGGTGCTTTCCTGGAATCACTTCTGGGGTTTGTGCCACTTTTCCACAAAGTGCCCAGCTGCCAAGGAGGTGGGAAGAAGCAGCCGAGCCTGCTCCCGAGAGAGGCGGGGGCTCCCCTCCCTGGGCCTCGGCACCCGTCCGTTCGAAACCGTGCAGGATTCTTGCTCAGGGCCATCGCTGTTGCTTTCGGAACCTGCGTCCTCCAGGAACCTCGGGGATGAGCGTGCCCACTTTCCGATACCCTCGACATACAAAGGTTTCCCTGGCACAAGCACCTGTTCGTCTTGAACTTGGCGAGTGTGTCCCTTTGGAGCCATCTCTGCAAATGTAATCCAATTCTGGCAAAATAATAATAATAATTATTATTATTCTGTCATTCCCGTCCCATAGCAAATGGGCCTTGGAACAGTGCCAGCCCAGGCAATCCATGCAGAGGGTCCAGTGGCCAAGTCAAACCTCGAGATAGAAACATAGAAAACAGAGCGAGTCAGGAAGGGCCTCCCGGGGCATCTAGTCTGACCCTTGGCACCAGCCGGCTCCGCTCACGACATGCCCACCATGTGGACGTCCAGCCTATCCTTGAACACCCGCACCGAGGGGGCCAAAACCACCTCCCTGGAAGCCCATTCCACACCCTGGGGGTCCTGACTTCAGCGCTCCATCAGCGCTCACCTCTGCCTTCAGTCGGAAGAAAATGATTTTCATTTCTGTTGTATTTCCTCAGGCAGTATGTTTGCCCGTGTGGGCGGATGGGAAGGAATTTATCTTTCTAATGGCCTGTTTGCTTTTTGTAAGAATGGCACAGAGTGGAGGCTGACGGTATGAAAGCGAGTCACACCCCAAAGCTGGGGAGAGGAGAAATACCAGCTTAGAAACGGTAGAGGTGGGACCCACTCAGTGGGGAGAGCTGCCCTGATAATGCAGGAAGACGAGGCGTGGGGAGCATCTTGAGGATAGAGCTGATCTCGGAGAACTCCCAGGCCGGCCGAGTTCTGGTGCCGCGGCCAACAGGGAGCAGATGGGTGGGTCGTGGCCGGGCAGCCCTCCGGGACGCGTGGCTGCTGCTGAATCAGTCATGCCCTCCCATGTCCTCGTGTGCGTGGAGCAGCCGCAGGGGCTCCTGATGGACGAGCCCCGGGGCTGCCGGCCGGCCGGGAGCAGTGGCCAGCGATTCCGTCCTCCTCTCCTCCATTGCTTTCCTGCAGTGAGGAGGGGGAATGAGGCAAACGCAGAGCCGGGGAGGGCGGGGGGCGGCCTGGGCTGGAAGCAGTGCTGTGCAGCTCAGCGCCTGCCCCGGCTCTCCCCCCCCCACCCCCGCGCCGATCTTTGGCACGCCTGCACACGCACGTGCGCACACCCCTGGCGGCATGGCAAGGCACACGGTCGGGTGGGAACCCTGGCACTGTTCCGGGGCACCGCAGTTTGGGGCGGGGGCTTCCATGTCACGTGGCAAAAGCCTTGCAAGCGCCAGGGACCTGCGGGCAACCCGTGGAAGATGCGGAGGCGGGGGTCCGCCGCACGGAGGCAGGGGTCCGCGGCCCCCTCGGAAGTGCGCGGCTAGGCGACGGTGGCGCGTCGCAAGAATGGCGCGTCGGCGTGTGGGGAGGGGGCCGGCCCGGAGTGCCGCCGTGCCCGGGGGCTCCGTGGAGAGCGGTGCATGGCCAGCCGCGCACACGTGGGGAAAGCCGCGTTGGCCTTCCGCCACCCGGCACTGTCCAAGCGTGTCGGTCTGCTGGCAGGGGATGATGGGAGTGGTAGTCATGGGAAAGGCGCCAGGCTGGGAAGGATGCAGTTGCCTCCTGGCCAGGTGGGCTGAGCCCCCAGATACCTGGTGGACCAGAACCGGCCCCGTGAACGCCGGGGGGGGGGGGACCGCGGAGCAGCAGCCAGGCAGGAAGCGGAACGCTCTGTGTTGGAGCGGCCTCGGTCCCACGGCTCCGAGCCCCACTCCTGCTCACAGCGACACAGGCGGGGGGGTGGCAGCATGTCACCCGGGCAGCATCTCAGGCCCCCCGAGACCCGAGGCCAGCCCGCTTGTGGGTGCCCCGCCGTCCAGTCCGGCCGGGGTTGCGCTCCTGCCCCGGGGCCGAGTGGAGCCCTGTCCCTGTCCTTGGCATCACGCCCTGCGTATCGCCGCCCACCCCACAGGCAAGAAGAGGAGGAGATGTGCTACCACAGCGAGGACGAGCTCCTGGGCGAGGGGGACACCATCAGCCAGAGCTCCCTCAGCGCGAGGTAGGCGGCGGCTGGGCTGCCGGCGGGCGGCTCGGGGGCTTGCGGTGTCTCGGCAGAGGCGGGGTGTGCCGGGCCGCCCTTCCAGGGAGGCCTTGTGGCAGGAGAGATGCGCCCCCGGGAAAGGGAACGGCTGGGGCTTCCTCAACCCGGCGCCCTGCGGAAGCACTGGGGGGTGCCCCATCCCGCCCAGCAGGGCCAGTGGGAAGAGAGGAAGCTGCCTTCAGCGGGGTCCAGTCCTGGCTCCAGCTGCCCAGCGTGGCTGACAAGGGCTGGCAGCAGTGCCCCCCCCTGCCCTCCCCCCCCCCCAATTTCCAGCCAGGGTTTCTCCAGCCTGACCGAAAGGTGGGCAGGGGGCAAACCCGAGGCCTTCCCGAGTCACCGCCCTGCCCTGACTGCATGGCATTCCTGTCCCAACTTTTCCCCTCTCGTGAGGAGCTCCAGGCAGCTTGCGCAGCTCCATTCCCTGCTCACAACAACCCTGCGAGGTAGGGCTGAGAAGGAGCAGCTGGCTCAGTGTCACCCGGGGGGCTTCATGGCCATGTGGGGACCAGAACCCGGGGCCCCTGGCTCCGCCATCCAGTTCCCCGCCTCCAAAGCGGCCTTTGGAGCGGGGGTTATGCTGGCTGGGGATGGGGGCCCTGGCGAGCCCACAGCTGTGGGGGGCGCCAGGTTGGAGAAGGCTGGTGCATGGCAGTACCTCCCTTTTCCTGAATGGGGTGCGTTTACAAGGCCAGGGGGTGTTGGCAGAAACCTCTCCCCTCAGGGGTTTCTCTGATTGCTGTGGAGTGCGGTGCGGCATGCCTTGAACCTTCCTGGCCCCAGGACCCGCATGGAGTGCGAATTTGGGGGCCGGGCGTGTGTGCATGTGTCCCCCCCCCCCCAGCAGTCCCGATCCAGCCATCCTCTCCTCACAGCCTGCATGAGGACCTCTGGGAAGGGGAGGGGCACACAGAGGAGGAGGAGGAGGGTTCAGCAGCGGAGAACAGATTGGGGCCTTCCTGGGGGGCCGTGCGTGGTCCCCGGGTTGCTGGTTGGACCCCCGGGTCCAAAAGCCATGTTGGAGGGCTCCTGCGGACGGGCCCTAGAAAGGATGACCCTCAGCTCCGCCTGCTTCCAGGTGCGCTCAGGGAGCGAACGACATCCTCTCGGCTTTTGACGTGAGGCTGGGCCCTCGAGGGCCCCCCGGGGCTCACGCAGGATGTCCCCGCGGCCTCCGGGAGGCTCTGGCTCTCGCCTGCCTGCTCTGCCTGCACGGGTGAGCACCCTGGAAGCCTCTGGCCCGGGCGCCCCCTGCCCTCGTTGCCTCTGGCTCCTCCAAGCATGCCTGGCCCGGACCGCGGGGCATGTGTGGGGTGGGCACGGCCCAGGCGAGTCGCAAGCCAGGCGCTTCGGGGGCTTCCCCCAGCTGCTGTCCCGGGGCGGAGGCACAGCTCCCCCCAGGAATCTGAGGGTGTCTCGGCCACCTGGCGCAAGATCCTTGGGGCTGCCGGAAAGGCAGGCGCCGCTCTTGGATGCAGCTGCTGCCATAGCAACCCCCGAAGCCCCGGAAACGCGTCTCCATGCAGAGGGTCCCCAGCCCCCCTCCTTTCACGTGTGTGGGCAGCCGAGTCTTCCCACTGCCACTTTTCCTGCCCCCTTTTCACCGATGGAGCAGCCGTCTGTGGGGCTGATGCTCCCTCTGGGGCTGGATCATTAATGACGTGGCTTCCTTATTAGGGTGTTCGCTGGTCCTCCCTCCGGGGGGTGAGGAGGCTTGCAAGTGACACCAAGATCAGTTGCGAACTCACAACAACCACAGGCCGAAAAGTAGCCCGAAGCCGCCAGCGTCCTGCCCCCGTACGGCTCTCGCCTCAGAGCCCTCCTCCCCTCCCGCCTCCCCAGAACACCCCAAAATGCCATTTTCAAGGGTGAAGAGTGTCCGCGGAAGTGGCATTCTGGGGTGCCCCAGGGCTGGGGGGACAAGAGCGATCTGAGGGTCAACGGTTGCCTCTGCACTCTTTCCCCGCTCCCTCAAACGCCCAGAATCTCCGAGTTTGGGAGTTATGGGCAGCCCCACTGGACGCAGTGCTTAAGGCCCGTCATCCAAGCAGTTGCGCTCAGAGCGCCCCCTGAAGCTGGTGGTGGGGGGCAAGCAGGACCTGGGGCTCGCGGCAGAGGGGAGGGCAAAGGCAGGCGTGTGCAGGGACCCGGGAAGACTCGGGCAAGCGGCTCTCGACCTGCCTGTGGGTTCTGCCCCGTGGCTGGTAGCTGCTCCTGCTATCCAGGGCCGCCTCCTGAAGGCTGCCTGTTCCAGAGTCCACACGGCCCTGTTTCCCTCAGTGTCGGTGCCGTTAACTCTTCGCGTACTGCCCGTTTCTGTTTGCTTGCTCGCTTCTGCAGCGGGTGCCTCTATTCCCCCTTTCCACGGTGCGGGCTCTCGTGGCGAGGATTTCGTCTGACGACCGAGGCGAGCCATTCGGCTGCAGCAGCTTTCCTGAAGCCCCGTGAGCCTTTGGGATCGGGCCCAGCACAACCACCAGCTTCCTCAGCCGCCCCGGCTCTTCCACTCCACCCGTTGTGCTTCCTCATCTGGCGATTCTCGGGCTGGGCAGCATCCTGCCGTCGGGAAACCCCCAGAGAAGTGTTTGCGGTCTCTGCCGCCTTCGGCCCCATCGCGGCCTCCCCGGCATCGCTCCAGCTGTGCCTTTCCGCCTGCAGGAATGCACCGCTCTGCGTCCAGGCCCCTTGCCTGTTCTTGGGATTAACCCCGATACCCCTTGCTTTGTGCCGTATAGCTGCCCGAGATGCGTGCCTCCGCTCCGGAGCCTTTCGGGATCGCCTGTCCTTTGGGTGCGTCAGTAGAGCCAGCTCCCGAACACGCCGGGCGCTCCGGCCATGCAGCGTAGGGGGTTGTGCCAGTGGCCGTCCGCTTCGTGAGCACGTGGCATCCCTGCAGCCTCTCCCCAGGTCTGCCCGAGACTTCTGCAGCGGACAGGGTCCCCCACGGCAGGGCCCCTGGCGAATGCCGGTGTGCCTGCCAGCGTGCGGCACGATGCCCCCCGGCACCGTCCTCGCCCTGCGTGGCTGGAGGCTGCCTACTGCACTCGGGGGCCGCCTGGGCAGCACCCTCTGGTGTGGTTCGGGATTTCTGTCGGCCAGCGCGTCCTGCAGCTCCTGGGAAAATCCTCTGTAAAGGGGAATTTCTGTGCGTCTGACCCATCGCGACCCCTTGGACAACATTCCTCCGGACCTTCCTGTCCACCATCCCCCGGAGGCCACCTAAGCTCAGCCCCACTGCCTCAGTAACTCCATCCAGCCCCCTCATCCTCTGCCCTCCCCTTCTCCTTTTGCCCTCAATCGTTCCCAGCATTAGGCTCTTCTCCAGGGAGTCCTTCCTTCTCATCAGGTGGCCAAAGTATTTGAGTTTCATCTTCAGGATCTGGCCTTCCAAAGAGCAGTAAGGGTTGATCTCCTCTAGGACTGACCGGTTGGATCGCCTTGCTGTCCAAGGGACTCACAGGAGTCTCCTCCAGCACCACAATCCAAAGGCCTCAATCCTTTTGAGCTCAGCCTTCCTTATGGTCCAGATTTCACAGCCATACATTGCAACTGGGAAAACCATAGCCTTGACTATACGCACTTTTGTTGGCAGGGTGATGCCTCTGCTTTTTAGTATGCTGTCTAGATTTGCCATAGCTCTCCTCCCCAGGAGCGTCTTTTAATTTCTTGGCGGCAGTCCCCATCTGCGGTGATCTTGGAGCCTAGGAAAATGAAATCTGTCACTACCTCCATTTCTTCCCCAACTATTTGCCAGGAAGTGAGAGGACCGGATGCCATGATCTTAGTTTTCTTAATGTTGAGTTTCAAGCCAACTTTTGCACTCTCCTCCTTCACCTGCATCAAGAGGCTCTTTAGCTCCTCCTAACTTTCCGGCGTTAGAGTGGTATCATCTGCACATCTGAGGTTGTTGGTATTTCTCCCAGCAATCTTAATTCCAACTGGTAATTCATCTAGGCCTGCCTTTCTCATGATGTGCTCTGCATATAAGTTAAATAGGCAGGGTGACAGGATACAGCCTTACCGAACTCCTTTCTCAATTTTGAACCAGTCAGTGGTTCCGTGCCCAGTTCTCACTGTTGCTTCTTGACCCACATATAGGTTTCTCAAGAGACAAATAAGATGGTCAGGTACTCCCATCTCTTGAAGAACTTGCCACAATTTGTGATCCACACAATCCAAGGCTTTAGCAAAGTCAATGAAGCAGAAGTAGATGCTTCTCTGGAACTCCCTCGCTTTCTCCATGATCCGGCGTATGTTGGCAATTTGGTCTCTAGTTCCTCTCCCTCTTCGAAACCCTGCCTGTACTTCTGTTATTGGTGCACATACTACAGGAGCCTAGCTTGTAGGATTTTGTCCATGGGGTTTTCATGGGGTTTTCATGGCAGGGGTCCTGGAGTGGGCTACCATTTCCTTCTCCTGGGGATCACGTTTTGTCAGAGCTCTCTGCTGTGACCTGTCCGTCCTGGGTGGCCCCGCACGGCAGAGCTCATGGCTTCATTGCGATACGCAAGCCCCTTCGCCACAACAAGGCAGTGATCCATGGAGGGGTTGAGGAGCTTAACAAGCCACTAAATGTCACTCTTCTTACATTAAAGGGTGCAATGAGCCTGGTCAGCCGGGAGGGGGCCATGGGATTCATCCAGCCATAGACTGTCAGCCCGGACAATCCACCGTTGCAGCTTCTCTCCAAGATTTCAAGGCGATTTGCAAAAACCGTAACATCACAAACCCTTCAGGGAACAGCAAAGGCGAACTGGCGGGTGCTTTAAAGCCCCAAGCTGCCCTTGTGGGTCTGTATTCGGGAAGGTGCACATTGTCCATTTTCAACTAAATGTCCCTGGATCGCTGAGAATACAACCTCCATCATCCACAGCCAGCACGGCCATATTGCTCAGCAGGTGAAAGAGGCAGTGGGAATAACATCAAAGATGGCTCCCTGAGAGCAGTGGTGGCAAGATTCAGTTGCATGTGCGCACGCTCCCTCCCTCCCTCTCACACACACACACACGCACACGCACGCACTCGCGCTTCTTGGGGGTCCGTGGAGACGGTGTCTTCCTGGCAGGGCTCTGGGTTGCAGCATGGTCTGCAGACTTAATTAAAGAGTCATTTGCTGTCTGCGCTTCCAGCATCATTAGAGACGATGTGCCGTTAGTCAGCTCTTCCCCTGTCCCACCGGGGGAAAACAAACTACCTTTGGAACGGAAATGATCGCTCGGCGGCGGCGCGGAGCTGCCGGATCAGCAGCTTGCCCGCTGCAGGAGCTGCCGCACTTCACCCGAGATTTTGCAGGCGCGCAGAATGGAGGGGCCCCGGGGGGGGCCCTAGTCTGGCCCCCGCGCAGGACGCGCTCTGCGGCCTGTGGCGAGGGGGAGCCCCGTGGTCTGGCCCTTTCCCCATGTGAGCGCCCGGAGGGCCACAATCGCGAGCCCGTGGAAGCGAGCGAGCGCGTGGCCGGTGCCTCCGCAGCCGCGAAACGAGCCCTTCCTGCGCGTGGCCGGTGCAGCCGCGTCCTGCAAGCCCGGCCCTCGCTTCGCAGCCTCCCTCTCGGCCTCTGCAGGCGAGGGGCACCGGGGAGACCTGGGCGCCGCATGGGGCCCGATCCGCCCGCCGTTTGCGCGGCACGTGCTGCCACTGGGCAAGGGGCCCGCTTGGCTTCCCAGCGCAGGGAGGAGGGGCACCCAGCACCTGTGCCTCCCCCTCCCGCTTCCTTCCCGAAACTGCTTTTCCCTTGCAAAGCAAGGGCGGCCGGGGGAAATTATGTGGGTGGAAAGCTCGTTGGGGGGGGGGGGGGGTAGCCTTCCTGCCTGCCTCTTGCATCGCTTTCCCCATCCGTAACTGCGGCTGATCTGTGGAGTCTCCCATCAGCAAAGAGCCGCTTTCAGCCGCTGCCTTTGAAACGGGACTCTCTGGGGCAGCCTGGGGGCAGAGAAGAGCCCTCCAGCCCCCAGCCAAACGCCAGCGGCCCGTGCCTGGAGCACCCTTAGGACCGGCTCGGGCGTTCAGAAGGACTGTTAGCCCTGCCTCAGTGGGCCGAGCCCCTTCAGGGCTCTGGCCTGGCATTCTCACCCGAGGAAACCAGTGTGGCGTAGTGGTGAAGAGTGTGGGACTGGGACTCAGGCGATCTGGGTTCGAGTCCCCGCTCAGCCACGGAGGCAACTGGGTGACTTTGGGCCAGTCACGGACTCTCAGCCCAGCCTACCTCACAGGGTTGTTGTGGGGATAAGATGGAGGAGGAGGAGGATGTAAGCTGCCTTGAGCCCTTTGTAGGAAAACGGCAGGCTATAAATCGAAATCGAAACCCCCCTCCCCCCGAGGCTTGGGAAGCCTGGCTTGACAAGTGGGAGGCTCGCTGCCAGCCCTGGCGCATGCGTGGGGGCTCGCAAGAGCTGGAAGCATGGCAGGCGCCGGCAGTAACCCCCCCCACGTGGCATGGCAGCCGTGGGGCACATGTGGCCCTCCAGGTGTGGGCGGGCAGCGGTCCCCGTGACCAAGGCAAGCTCTGCAGTGCAGGGGAGGATGCCCGTTTGGGGGGGGCGGCCTGATGCGTGTCCCCCCCATGCATGCTTGAAACTCCCACTTTGGTGAGCAACACCGACCACGTCGCTTCTCCCTGCAGTAACGCGGGCGATTCACTTTAACTGTGTTTCTGTGTTTGTGCATGTCAACGGAACAGTTTGGGTGAAGACGGAGAAGAGCACGAAGGGTAAAGACCGTGTGTTGTGCTGCATGGGCCAGAGCGAAGCCTCGGGGGGGGGGGGGGGGGGGCCGGAGCCCGACCTTCCCGCTTGTGCATCGGTGGAGCCTTTCCCGGCGCTGCCACCATCTCTGCCGGTCATCCGCACAGAGGCGACCCTGAGTGGATGCCTCCGGGGTCCCACTTCACGGACGATGGTAACCTGCGAAGCACCACAGTGGGGCCAGCTCTTTTAGGATTGCGTGCCCGTGCCGTCGCCTCAGCACGGATGGGGCGGCCCCTTAATCACAAGGGTTCTGCCTGGCCCCCGGGAACCATGGCGGCCAGCCCAGGGCAACAGCACCGGGCTCGATCCCCCAGGGCACTGGCTCGGCGCCAGGCGGCTGGCCCCTGCCTTCCCATGCCCCAGGCCAGGCCGGCGTTCCGAAGCCACAGGAGGCTGCCCACTGGCCAGTGGGATGTCCACCTGCAAGCAGGACACAGGTGCACCCTGCCACCCATGTTCCCCAGCATCCAGCATACGTAGGCAAATGGCCTCTCTCACGGGAGGCAGCCCTCTGGTCTCATCGCCCTGCTCAGCTCCCCGCTCTCCTCCATGAGCTTCCCCAAACGCCTCAAAACCGTCCGGATTGGGGGCCTTCCCTCCATCTCGGGGTGTGAATTTCAGGCCCTGTGCGACACAGGCCTTCCCTTTGTCTGCTCCGAATCCCCACGAGTTGACCCTGGCACTGTGAGAGGGGCGGCCCG